AGTGTTGTCAATGACACAAAAGACGCTTACCCTTTAAAAACAACTGGGCCTGAGTTCAAGAAACCATTCTCACGCTCAAACTCAGATTTTGTACTCAAGCCAAATTGCTTGATCCTGTGATAAATTTATAATACTTCACATTTTGACAATACTTTAGGAGAAATTGGGAGAGCCTTGAAGCAGAACACCATTTTTAGTGTTTATACTTGCCTTTTTTACCATGTCATTTGATTTAAGCAAGCTACAAGAAAAATTGTCTGGGCACGGAATTCATGAGAATGGTTTCTAGTGAGGAGTACGAGCTCAGGTCTGACACTCGTACTTTTTTTCAAGAGTCAACATGGGAATCATTCCATTGTTCAGATTTCGCTTAGAATCCTCGATTTAGCTATGATGAAACACACACATCATGAAAATTGGTTTATAATAAACAAGAGATCCCAGAGGGATCTTGGCGCCCACCATTGTACCATCTTCATTAGTTCTTTGTCAGTTCGATCTTTTCTCTTCTTTCCTCTAATCTGTTTGATCGAGTCATGTTAACAGTAAATGCACCTTGAGGTAACTTTTGATCTAAACTTAATACTGATGTGTATGAAAGCCAACCTTCAAAGCGAGTTAGTCATTTCTCATATTTACTAGTACAGTACTTAATGTGAAAGAAATAGAATTGATCATTGCAATATGAGAAAGATCTGTTTAGTTCTTCCTTTAGCATTTTGTTTTTATGATCAGTCTCAAAATATAACATGCACAACAAGGGATCAAGGGAAACCTACATATCAAATTTGAGAAAGATCCCTCAAGTTATTCCTGAGAAATAGTACTAACAAACCTTCAATGTCAAAAATCGAAGATGGCTGTCGGTAGGCCATTTTGTTTAACTGATCAGTTTCAAAAGTAAACATGAACAATAAAGGATAGTGGGGAACCTGCATTGGCTGGCCTAAAAAAATAATTGGGGGTGAGTAAAATATTGGTGGCCCAAATAATTTTGGGAAGAAATAATTCCACAGCATTTAACACAATGCTTCAGCACATTTAACTTACATATAACATGACAAAGTTTGTAATATTTAAAACAGAATAAAACATTATATTTTTAATTCTTCAACCCTAGTTAAAACCTGACATGATCCACTTCATTCAGGTCTTTAGTATACGTATTTCCCAAAGAATTACACAAAACTTGCACCTCAAAGAAGACACCCTGGCTGTATTTATATAGAAAATCTGAAAAAAAATCATCACATTTTCTAAATCAAGGACAGTTCGATTCAAATCGAAGTAATGACAACTGAAAAATATACTGCCCTCCAGTTCATTTGGAAGGGACTATAATTTCTTTTATTCATTAATTTTTCAACAGTCGCCCAAACTATTTTTGTTGGGCCAGTGACTACATCACTTTTGACAACTTTTGGTCGCCCGAACAAGATTTTAATCGCCATTGGCGAGCAGGCGACCATCCATTTCAGGTACTGCTGCACAACAAGGTAACAAAGGGAACCTATAAATATAAAATTTAAGGAAAGATCCCTCTGGTACTTCCCGAGAAATATTGATAACGAACTTTCATTATCAAAATCCAAGATGACTGCCTGTCGGCCATGTTATTTATCCGATCAGTCTCAAAAGTTGCCCTGCACAGCTAGGGACCAAGGGGAACCCACATATAAAATTAGAGAAAGATCCCTCTGGTACTTCTTGGGAAATACCGATAACAAGAATTGTTTAAGGACGGATGATGGACGGCAGACCACGGACGCAGAGTGATTTGAATAGCCCACCATCAGATGATGGTGGGCTAAAAACCAAGTTTATTTCCATAGCTGAATGAGTTAAAGTGTAGCACAAGATGCAATTACAGCATATAATGTTATCTCGAGAAAGTTTAACATCATTCCTGTCAAAATTCATAAATATTTAAGATAGCATCTTTATTAGGAAAGGTGATATGCCATTCAACCATCACCAAGCCTTCACGGGGATTATTGTATCATAATCAGCAATAAAATACACTGGTAAGAAAACTTAATGCATAAATCCACAAGAAATACCTAAACCAGGATATCTTAATATTAGTTTGGAATTTTGGATAGGGAAAACACATGATAATTAACTTGTAACAAATTAGAACTTTAGAATGGGCTCACACTCAGGATATTTACATCTGTTATTTTAGAATAGGCTCACACACAGGATATTTACATCTGTTACTTTAGAATGGGCCCACACACAGGATATTTACATCTGTTACTTTAGAATGGGCCCAAACACATGATATTTACATCTAATACTGTAGAATGGGCCCACACACAGATTATTTACATCTGTTACTTTACAATAGGCCCACACACTGGATATTTACATCTGTTAATTTAGGATGGGCCCACACTCAGGATATTTTTATATATGTTAATTTAGGATGGGCTCACACTCAGGATATTTACATCTGTTACTTTAGGATGGGCCCACACACACAGGATATTTACATATGTTACTTTAGGATGGGCCCACACTCAGGATATTTACATATATTACTTTCGGATGGGCCCACACTCAGGATATTTACATCTGTTACTTAAGAATAGGCCCACACACTGGATATTTACATATGTTACTTTAGGATTGGCACACACACACAGGATATTTACATCTGTTACTTTAGGATGGGCCCACATTCAGGATATTTACATCTGTTACTTTAGAATAGGCCCACACACAGGATATTTACATTTTTTTTACTTTAGGATGGGCCCAAACACATGATATTTACATCTGTTACTTAAGAATAGGCCCACACACTGGGTATTTACATCTGTTACTTAAGGATGGGCCCACACACACAGGATATTTACATATGGTACTTTAGGATGGGCCCACACACAGGATATTTACATCTGTTACTTGAAAATAGGACTCTAAACAGGATAATTTAACACACTGGATATTTACATTTGTTACAACAGAATGGGCCCACACACACTGGATATTTACATCTGTTACTTGAAAATAGGACTCTAAACAGGATATTTATATCTGTTACAACAGAATGCACCAATTTAACACACTGGATATTTACATTTGTTACAACAGAATGGGCCCACACACTGGATATTTACATCTGTTACTTGAAAATGGGACTCTACACAGGATATTTACATTTGTTACAACAGAATGGGCCAACACACTGGATATTTACATTTGTTACTTGAAAATGGGACTCTACACAGGATATTTACATTTGTTACAACAGAATGGGCCCACACACTGGATATTTACATTTGTTACAAAAGAATGGGCCCACACACAGGATATTTACATATGTTACAACTGAATGGGCCCACACACTGGATATTTACATCTGTAACTTTAGAATGGCCCCACACTCAGGATATTTACATCTATTTTTTTAGAATGGACTCACACACTGGAAATTTACAACTGTTACTTTAGAATAGGCCCACACACTGGATATTTACATCTGTTACTTTAGAATGGGCCCACACACATGATATTTACATTTGTTACAACAGAATGGGCCCAAACACAGGATATTTACATTTGTTACTTTATGGTGGGGTCATACTTATGATATTTATAGCTGATACTTTACAATTGGCCCACACATCGAATATTTATATCTGATACTTTAGAAATGCACCAACACACAGGATATTTATATCTGTTACTTTAGAATGGGGCAACACAAAGGATACTTACATTCCTCGCTTTAGAGCAGTGCTTCAAACAGGATAATGCTGATATTTTCATCAGTTACTTTAAAATGGGGCCACCCAAAGGAGATTTACATCTGTCACTTTAGGATGGGGCCACACAAAGGATTTTTACATATGTTACTTTAGGATGGGGCCACACAAAGGATTTTAACATATGTCACTTTAGGATGGGGCCACACAAAGGATTTTTACATATGTCATTTAAGGATGGGGCCACACAAAGGATTTTTACATATGTCTCTTCAGGATGGGGCCACACAAAGGATTTTTACATATGTCACTTTAGTATGGCCCACAAAAAGGACTTTTACATATGTTACTTTAGGATGGGGCCACACAAAGGATTTTAACATATATCACTTTAGGATGGGGCCATACAAAGGATTTTTACATATGTCACTTTAGGATGGGGCCACACAAAGGATTTTTAAATGTCACTTTAGGATGGGGCCACACAAAGGATTTTTACATATGTCACTTTAGGATGGGGCCACACAAAGGATTTTTACATATGTCACTTTAGGATGGGGCCACACAAAGGATTTTTACATATGTCACTTTAGGATGGGGCCACACAAAGGATTTTAACATATGTCACTTTAGGATGGGGCCACACAAAGGATTTTTACATATGTCACTTTAGGATGGGGCACACACAAAGGATTTTTAAATGTCACTTTAGGATGGGGCCACACAAAGGATTTTTACATATGTCACTTTAGGATGGGACCACACAAAGGATTTTTACATATGTCACTTTAGGATGAGGCCACACAAAGGATTTTTACATATGTCACTTTAGGATGGGGCCACACAAAGGATTTTTACATATGTCACTTTAGGATGGGGCCACACAAAGGATTTTTACATATGTCACTTTAGGATGGGGCCACACAAAGGATTTTTACATATGTCACTTTAGGATGAGGCCACACAAAGGATTTTAACATATGTCACTTTAGGATGGGGCCACACAAAGGATTTTTACATATGTCACTTTAGGATGGGGCACACACAAAGGATTTTTAAATGTCACTTTAGGATGGGGCCACACAAAGGATTTTTACATATGTCACTTTAGGATGAGGCCACACAAAGGATTTTTACATATATGTCACTTACTGTTTGGGTAACACATATGAAATTACATGTTGTCACTACTAGTAGTATGGGGCCACATACTGTCAACTGTTACACTAGTGAAAACATCGCACATTAGTATCGATGAAATACAAAAACAGAAAATTACAAACTGACCTTTTTCACTTTTTCCTCCCCTACTGATTCCAGTTGTATTCTTCTTTGTTCCTCATCGGTTGGCACATAATTAGCCGGTACTCTGTAATCCAAAGGTCGAGGGGAAGCACAAATCTCACATCCAGGACGCGACGGCTGATTTACAAAAGTGCATGCCTCACAGGTCCAACCATCCTTCTGTCAAAAAAAAATCAATAAAATTGCAACTTACTTTTCAAAACAAGATTTCTTTTAAGATACACCCAGCTGTAAAAGATATATGGCTCATTCTTGAGTCTATAAATGTTAATAGAAAATACTTATTCTGTTAACATAACATAAATAACATGACAAAACCTTTTTAAGACTTTTTTACAAATTCAGTCTCCAGAAACATGAACACCCCAGTATATTAATCTCTTCCTTCACTAATGCTGTACTCTGACAGTAGACATCTGTTTTTCAAAGAGACGTTTTTTGTATAGACAGCCATGAATTCTTATCATAGAACGGATCTGGATCTGTGTTATATAGGATACATGTTTACCCAAATTCTCTCAACTGGGTATGGCCACCCAGTTAGCCCAATGGGTCACACAAACACTTATTATTAACAAAAACGAGAGATTTCTGATTCCTGGCTGTCATATAATTTCTTCTGATCCAGTGGTTGGAAGTTTCAAATGAAAGATGAAAAATTGAGAAACAGGAAAAATAAACTTGAAAAATTTGAGAAATATCTTAACTTTATGAGAAACAGCAATAATAGTTTGAAGGTATCTGCTTGGTGCCCACCTATTTTTTTAATGAATTAAGATAAAACATACAAAACTAAAAACCACCTGGAGCTGTTCTAGATAAGAACTTCCAGAAAGATCCATTTAGTTCTTCAAGAGAAAAAGTGATCACAGGCTTTAACTGAAAAATTCCAAGATGGTTATGTCCTGACAGCTATATCTTGTTAATGTGATCAATTCCAAAACGCAACTAGTATTCCAAATGAGATTCATCAGTTCGATGTGAATAACAAATGCCAAGTTTGTTTTGAACAAAAACAGCATCACGTACATGTAATTGAAATCCTTATTTGTGAGCTTTTGAAAATGTATATTTTCTATGTGAAGCAAAGAGGGCTTAAGTTTTCAATTACAATTTATGCTCAAAACAAACTTAGCATTCATGCTCAACTAATATTTCCTAACATTTTCTTCAGGTTAGTAAGTTATGTGTGATGGTTAGATAACTACTACAGTACTACTTACCCTGTCACCTTCATCAGACAAATGATCAGTGATACATGTGTTCGCAAAGGTGTAAAATATGTATGAGTTGGGAAATATGAAATTGACATCTATTTGCATATGCTATAGGTGTTGTACAGCTGTTCTATGTGTACAAAACGATGAATCAATCCAACAATATGATTCGGCTACTCTTTGTTTAATACCTGGTCATAGATATGCAAGAGTCTAGACATACAAAAGTGTGAAAGTCTAAAAGTAAGAGATTGTGAGAGTCTAGACATACAAGGGTGCAACAGTCTAGACAGACTGAGATATTGAGAAGAAGTTGTTTAAAAAAGAGTTAATTTATGATGGTTGGCAGTAGATGGCAATAGCTCTCTAAATGACTCAAATGAATGAATGGAAGGACCGACGGATGATGGAAGTTGTTGCACAGCATAAGCTTAAGCTCACACGGCCCTTTAAAAATCAACTTTGGGGTACATCACCTTGTGATCCTGTACGAAGTGGATTTTTCCAAGCTCCCCCATTGAATTCTTTGGCCTTGCCCCTTCCATTGGTCTAAGGGTCTCTGGATCAGATAATTGTTGTGCCTCCTCCTCATTAATACTTGCTGCCCTCAATGTTTGACCTTCAACCCCATCCTCGCTTATTGCCATATTAACCATGGCTGGGTTGAGAATGAGCCTCTCTGGTGTGGGGTTCGGATTCCCTGCGGCAACGGAATTAGGGGAGGGGCTTGTCGGACCTTTGACATTTTTATGTGCTTTGTTGTGTTGATAATCTGTGAAGGGAATGAAGAGAAAATACAAGAGTGACAATGTTTTCTATAAAATAGTATAACCTTGACTTTGTCTTTACCACAGAAATACAAAGTTATCAAAAGTGTTATTATACTTGACTATTAAATGAATTTTGATCCAAATCGATTATGATGAGAAGTTGTTATTGAAGGAGCACCAACCAAATATTATACTTACCCATAACCTTGACCTTTGGACCTCCATCTCTCGAAACTATTAATCATGATTTTACAAGTCATACATTTGATGTGCATTATCTAATCTTACAGGACAATATCAGTAATTGTCTGATTGCAAACCTTTTTAAATGTTTGCTATCAAAAACTGAATTCTCTGACTTTTACCTTGTTCCAGGATCTGGAGCAGCCGACCTTCATTGACCTTGGTCGCCTTGGTGTTGCCGGGGTTGGTATGAATGAGGTAAAGGAAGATGACACTGCCCTCAATCAGACTGAACTGTCTGAGTGTGTCGCTGTCACTGGGCAAGTTGTTCCCGATTACCCACTGTTGGATCTCCACTGGAAACTTGTGTAGCACCCACATCTGAAATCAGGCATGATCATCTCACTATTTATATCATTTCAACCGGTTGATGGTAGGAATTAGGATGTAATTAATTTCTCTTTGGTATGAGAAACACCAATAAGTGGCGCTATTGGTGGTATTTGTACGTGCAAAAGGTCTGGGTTGTTACCTATACGTGTCATTCAGGCGACACAGGTAACAAGAAGCACACGTGTATTTTTCAGTTCGAGTTTTCAGTACAGAGATGGAGGGCGGCGGTCCGAATACTAACAGCGGTGTCACGTTAAATGACATTTTTCAACAATTATAGAGTCAGAAAGGTGAAAATAAGGCATATTTAGACACCAGGTTGTCTGAAATTCAAAATGGGAGGGATGTTTCAAAAGAAATTCAGAAATTGAAGGAGGATAAAGGTTCATCGTGGATAAGTGAGGGGAGGCCCTAGTTTAGCGGCAGGAGCTCCAGGTCAGGTTTCTAATCCTATGCGGCATTCTGATGGGAATCAGCTTTTTCGCGGCCAACGAGGAAACCTGGGAGCCTGTTTCTCGTGTGGGGACTTCCGACACTTCTGGAAGGATTGTCCAATCGTCAACAAGTCAGCTGGGCAGTCCAGGACAGGGACATAGGGACATAGAGACTAAAGAGCTAGGCTCAAGTCATCAAAGATAATTAAGTATACGAATATAACAGAGTTTCCAAGTAACAACTGTACAGGAGCCTGAGATAGAAAAGAATTCACTAGCGACTTTTTCGAATATGAACAAGGACAGGCTGACATTTTAGTAAAAAGTAGATTAAAAAATAACATTGAATTTTGGAAGAATATTGGACGTTCTGAATTTGTGTTAGATGCGATTTATAACAGTTACAAAATTCCATTTCATTCAGAACCAAACAAAAGAGAATTTTAAAAATAACGTGTCGGCAGTGAAAAATGCCGAGTTTGAGGAGAAGGCTATTTTCGATTTAGAAAAGCGTAACTTGATAGAGAGGTGGGAAGAATCTCCATATATGACGAATTCATTGACCGCATCAGTTCAGAGTAGTGGTAAGAAACGTCTGATTTTGGATTTAAGGGAGGTCAATAAACATTAATGGAAACAATCCGTGAAATATGACGATTTATGACAGCGTTATTGTATATAACGAAACAGGGATGGTTAATAAAATTTTATATACATTCGGTGTATCATCACATAGATATATATCCACCTCATACCAGATTCTTGGTTTTTCGTGGATTTTGGTTCTAAGAAAGTATACTTTAAGTTTTTAGTGTTATCCTTTGGTCTGTCTTACAGCTCCGTATATTTTTACTTAAGTCACCAGATGGCTTATTAAAAAGTGGAGAGGTGAGGGTTTACAAATTTTGATGTATTTGGATGACGGGTTGTGTCATAATACTGACAAATTGAAGTTAGTAGAACATAGTGCAAATGTTAAAAGTGACATGATAGAGTCAGGTTTTGTCCCCAAAGCAGACAAATCTATGTACAATTCATAACTTTTCTCGGTGTAGATATTGATACCTTATAGGAGTTTTGCGTATACCGGAGAGTCGGATTGAGAAAGCACATGCGTGTGTTATGGATATGTTGAAAGTTGTTTACAGTGGCAGGGCAGTTCATGTCAAAGCATTAGCAAGGTTTGTAGGTCAAATTATGTCCATGAGTATAGTATTGGGCAACATTACTCAGCTAAAGACCAAGCCCAGTCGTGGAATGATAGAGTTGTTGTGGACGATAATTGTGTAGCTCAGATGCAATTTAGGGTAAATCACACCAATTGTATCAATTCTAGAGAAATTCAGTATTCCCCACAGTGCAATAAAATAGTTTATTCTGATGCTTAAGTTGCACGGTTGATATTGCGTAGAGTCGCCTGTAGGCATGGCACATGGTGTGTTGACCCTGAACGCCTGAACGAGGCAGGTCAAAGTTCGACCTATAGAGAATTGACAGCTGTATATAGAGTGTTGTTTTCACTTGTCAATGTATTGAGAGGGATCAGGATAAAATGGTTTTCAGATAACCAGGGTGTGGTGACGATTGTAGAGAAGGGCAGTATGAAATTATGTTTGCAAAATATAGCACTTGATATTTTTGTGCTTACATGTATGTTTGAAAATATCATATATCGTTAGAAATGGAATGGGTTCCCAGGGAGGAAAATGTGTGTGCTGATTTTATCAGTAAAATTGTCGATGTTGACGATTGGGGTGTGACTGAAAGTGTTTTTCAGCTGTTTGAGGATATTTGGGGTCCTTTTGACGTGGATTGGTTTGCTTCCTGGTATAATAAGAAGTTATCTACATTTTATGCTAGGTATTGGAATCCAGGTTCTAAAGGTATTGATGCTTTTTCAGCAAGTTGGACTGGGATAAATGGTTGGTTTGTTCTACCAGTGTACCTCATTTCGAGAGTTATTAGGTATATGCAAATGTGTAATGCGTATGGCACACTGACTATTCCTTTTTGTAAGTCGGTTAGGTTTTGGCCCTGTGTGGGAATACAGGTTTTTACAATCAGAAAAATGTTTTTACACACCATCCAGATATGGGAAAGGTGTGTTTAGACATGTCGATTTAACCTTTCCAATGCTACATATTGATTTTCGGTAGATATATATATTTACTTGTATAGTTTGGTACATACTTAGTATATTTGTACATATCGTTATGTGGGTAAGAATTGCTATACCGGTTTTCAGTGAGAAATTTGCAATGCGATTAGCATTTTATTCTATTGTGATACCAGTTGTTGGTGAGAGAATCGTGTTAAACGATTGGTGAAATGAGCAGTTTATATTTACTGCTTTACCGGTTTTCGGTGAAAAATTTTCAATATGATTAGCAGATAATAAATGTTTAATACCGGTTTTCTGAGAGGGAATCGTTTTACACGATTTCTATTGATTAGTATGGCTAGCAGTTTATATTTTCTGCTGTACCGACTTTCGGTGACCACGGTTTCAGATGATTAGCAGTTATGATAACTGTTGATTGCTGTTAAATCAGGATTTTCAACGAAAGCTGTTTTATAAGAAAAACAGGATTAAATATCACATGCCATGCATATAAGATGGTTGTACGATATGTTGAGTTTGAAATTAAAACGTTGTTGTTGAGCTTGTGCAGTTTGTGTTCTGATAGATAATTATTGTATTTGTTTTCTGATTTTTACGTTTAGTGACACATGCATTGAAAGATGAGTACTATATGGTGCCAGATCAGCTCAAAGACTTTGCGTTTATGGTTTCACAATTGTTACAGGGGTGTCGGGCAGACAGTACCATTAGGAAATATTGTCATGTTTTTTTGCGATGGAAAAAATGGGCGAGTCAAAATGGTCTTGAGGAGCATGATATCTTTCCGACAAAACCGTTTATGTTATGTATATATTTATCCTATTTGGTTAGAAATAACGGTAATGTTGGTAGTATAACAGTTGCGTTATACGGTATTTAATGGGTACACGATATTGTAGGTAAAACATCGCCCACAGATTCTTTATTAGTGAGAAATGATTTTGAGGGAGCTAAACGATTGTTAGCGAAACCTATTAGGAGGAAGGAACCAATCACAGTGTCGATTTTGAATAACGTATATGATAAATTGTTTGATAAAAATAATGTATATATTCAAAGAATTTTAACAATGTGTTTGTTTGCATACTCAGGTTTTATGAGGAGTGCAGAGGTGTTAGCTTTACGGAGGTCTGATGTCCAGATACGCACAACACATTTAAATATTTTCGTGGAATAGTCGAAAAAAGACGTATACAGAGATGACGCATGGATTCTTGTGAGCAGGACGGAGTCGCGTTTGTGCTCAGTGTGTCATTCTGAAATTTATGCAAAATTGTCTGAGATTAGTGATGATTCCGAGGAATACGTTTTTCTTCGTAATGTTACGAGAAAAGGTGATAAGTATGTGTTAAGGAAGTCTAATAAACCGATGTCCTATTCGCGATTCAGGGAACATTTTATTGAGACTTTTTCAGGTTTTGTATTCGACCTCAAACGTTTGGATTACACAGTTTTCGGTCAGGTGGGGCTTCAGCCGCAGCTAATAGTGGTATTCCGGACAGGTTGTTTAAACGGCATGGGAGGTGGCGATCGGAGACCGTGAAGGATGGTTATGTTAAAGACAATTTTGACGAACATTTAAGTGTTTCTCAGCATTTGAACTTATAATAATAGAAATTTGACAGTTAGTGTGCGCATCTTGGATTTTTTCTACTTCTAATACTTTCGGATTATTTTCCTGTTCTTTCTGAGTTCATCGGTCAGTGCCTATGTCGCTGGGAAATACAATTTTTGTATTCGTGTTGTTTATCCTATTTGATAATATAGAAGAGAAACCTACCAATGTTATCATAAGGCAGACATTGCAGTAATGTACGATTTTATTAATCATTACAAAGTTAGGATACTAAAAACGGACATTTTTGGTTACCCACTAGAGGGTAACACCCTGGATGTGATTTCATTGGTCAATCTTCTAATTATGACGTCAAGTTACAATGCCTTGCGACGTCATCTTCCATTGTGACATCATAGCTTATGGCAAATGTTTTCCAGATCGGAAACAGGAATAATATATTCCCAAAGGAAAAGTATGGTTTTCTAGATATCATATCTGAAGATTTTGGGAAGAAAAGGTCACCAAACTTGTGATGGTTAATTACCATGGCCCACTTAAGCTTGTATAAAACATCTCAAAGTTAAGGAAAATCTCAAGCAATGTATTGTCTATGGGAAATCTTAGACTTGAGGAAATCTCAAGAGTTGAGATGTTGTATATACAAGTGGGCCCATGTTACCTAACTCTTGTTAGTTAATATGCAAATTGCAAAAGACACTTAGTAAACCTCGTGTCTTTATACAAATTGAAAAATTAACTCACTCGTGTTAGATAAACATGATAACCAACCACCACTCGTTAGGACACCTCTATATAACCTGAAGTAGGGTGTACATCTGTACCAGGAGCTGAGAGGTGCATAAAGTTGTTCAAG